GGTGTTAAAATAGAGAATGAGCATTATCTGTAACTTCGCGCTCTTGTTACTAAATTAATATGGAAACACTCAAAAATACAATTAACAAAGCCACTCGACTTTGGATGCCCTTTGCATGAATACCCAAACAAACATAAACGGAATGTTTTGAAATGATTTGATCAAGAGGTAATTGAGTTCAGTAATTTGTACTGTCAGATTACAAAGCCAATTAATCTGTCGTCTCAACGCCAACGGTGCTCAAATATTATAATGCGTTCCCAATCGTTATCGGTGAAATTTTTACGAAAGCTTTGCGAAACTAAACATGATCATTGTGTTCTCTACAGCCTACAGGACAAAACAAAGGCCACTTTAAGCTGCAATAAAGAATCCAAATTAAAAAAACAACGATCATATCAAAATATGATAACGATTTTGACATTTCCTGCAACTCGAAACTTGCCCCTCGGAGAGTCGAAGAAGTATATAATTGGATATAATAATCGGAATTCATAAAGTTCTTGTTTTTGTCTTTCTTATTGTTCTTTAGAAAATTGATTCTTCATGATTTTTTCTGTGTTGGTGTAATGTACTCAGGTGAATATGATGCTTGTGATGTTACTTTGAGTGTATATCCACACCGAGCAAGCTTAAAAAATATGCCTGACCACGGTGGGAATCGAACCTACGACCTTTGGAATACTAGCCCAATGCTCTGCCAACTGAGCTACGCGGTTTGGTCGGTACGATTATATGATATTTCGGAACAGAATTCGAACCGACCAGACCGCGTAGCTCAGTTGGCAGAGCATTGGGCTGGTATTCCAAAGGTCGTAGGTTCGATTCCCACCGTGGTCAGGCATATTTTTCAAGCTTGCCCGGTGTGGATATACACTCAGAGTAACATCACAAGCATCATTGATTCTTCAGTTGTAATGCCCTTCATTGTTATAATCAACCAATCACATAATCAACCAATCACAAAAGTTGTTGATGGGTTGGATGCAGTTCATACGTGACCAAATAGACCTTTTCATACGGGTTTTCCAAATTTCTATTTACGCAACGAAATGAAACACCACAGCTGAAAAAAGCACGTCAAAAGGTTGCAAAAAATGTTATAAAGTAAAGATAATATGGCTGCAAATTTTGCACATTTTATATGTTTTTATATTGAGGAGGTGAATATTTGCCTATAGTAATGCACATTTCCACAATATTTATCCACCATATTTTGCAATATTTATCCACCATATTTTCAGCTATGGTATTGGAATTTCATTCCGCATGAAAAGGTCAGTTGATGGCTAACTGATCTAACTAGCAGTGTGGACCTGTTATACAATTTCGCTTGGGTCTGCGAAATGTCCGACTGTGTGCAGTTTCTCGGACATTGGCTAATAATAGCTGGCCAGCTTTTCACTATTTTCATTGATAGCTCATGCCGGTTTATAGTTGCCACATGTTCAATCACATTACTTCACTTTTGCCTTTTGGTAAGCAGTCACAATTACGATCCATGCAACCGAAAAGCTCTTGGTACCACGGACACCGTTGTCAAATTTTCTGCATGTCTGGTACAATTGTCTAGCTGGTAGAGATGCAACTACCTGAAAAATATAAGGAGAATTTCGACGTTTCGAGCGAAGGCCCTTCGTCTGGAGTAAGTAGCCGCCAACCGCTGGAGTAGTCGCCTATTTACTCCAGACGAAGGATCCGCTCGAAACGTCGAAATTCTCCTTATATTTTTCAGGTAGTTGCATCCCTAGCAACGAAAGCTTGTTATTACAGTGCAAGATTACACCATAAACTTGCCTGTCACCGTGAAGCCAAGAAAATCGCTTCTCTCGCTTTTATGATATATACCTTTAATATAAATGAAAACTGTGTATGATTTATTTGGTCTGTGAAGCCGGAGGACCCGGAGAAAAACCCCTCAAAGCACAGGAGAAAACGAAGAACAACTCTTCTTATGCACGAGAACAACAGGGTCTCCGCAGAGACGAAACTTGAGGGGTGTGTGTGTGGGGGTGAC